TTTGTCAGTAACTTAAATTCTCAAAAAAAAAACCCTAAATTGTTGCACCACAGAAATGGTTTTAATCTTATCTCTGGATAATTCCACAAATGACTTGAATATACCAACTACTGTTTCAGCAATAATAATTGAGTACTACTCAGTAAAGCACACTATGGAACCGAATGGTAGCATATACTCAAAGCACGTTTCTTTTATTGTTCAAAAAGTGGAATTCACTTTTATAATGACATTTGTGGAGTAACAGATATCTAGGAGTATTTTCATATAGTGTGAAAGTAAAGAGCCACAAATGTCAATGGTTTAAAATATCTCAAGTTTCCTGGTAGTAACAATAATGCCCTCTGCCTGTGTAGTGGGGCCCAGGAAAGTAAATATAGGGTCTGACTTGGTATAGATATGGCAATTTCCTGCGTGTCCTTGGGAGAACTTTTTGAATTAAGTTTAAATATCTTTGGGGTCCACCATTTTAAATGCAAAATGTATGTATCATTATGTATGGTTCCTGCATAAGTTTACTCATGTCCATCTAGCCTATCCTGTCTTCTGACAGTGGCCAGTGACGGATGCTTGAGGGAATGAACAGAGCAGGGCAATATTGAGTGATCCGTCCCTTGTAATTCAGCCCCAACTTCTGAAAGTTGGAGGTTTAGGGACACCTCGAGCATAGGGTTGCATCCCTAACCATTTTGGCTAATACCCATTGATGGACCTATCGCCCATGAACTTATCTAATTCATTTTTGAACCCAATTACACTTTTGGCCTTTACAACATCCCCTGGCAATGAGTTCTGCAGGTTGACTGTGTGTTGTGTGAAGAAGTACTTCCTTATGTTTGTTTTAAATCTGGCACCTCTTAATTTCTTCTGGTGACCTCTGGTTCTTATGTTATGTGAAGGGATAAATAACACTTTATTCATTTTCTCCGCATCATTCATCATCATTTTATAGACCTCTGTCATATTCCTTTTACTCAACTCTTGTTTTAAGTTGAACAGTTCCAGTCTTTTTAATCTTTCCTCCTATGGAAGCTGTTCCATACCCCTAATCAGTTTTGTTGCCCTTCTCTGTATCTTTTACAATTTTAATATATATCTTTTTCAGATGGGGCAACCAGAACTGCACACAGTATTTAAGGTGTGGGTGTACCAGGGATTTGTATAGTGACATTATATTTTCTGATTTATCTATCCATCTGTTTCCTAAGGGTTTCAAACATTGTTAGCTTTTTTAAAAAAAAATCCCTGCACATTGAGCAGATGTTTTCAGAGACCTACCCACAATTACTCCAAGATCTTTCTTGAGTGGTAACAGCTAATTTAGACCCCATCATTTTGAAGGAATAGTTGGGATTATTTTTTTTCTAATGTGTATTACTTTGCACTTATCAACATTGTATTTCATCTATTGTTTTTTTTGCCCAGACACCAGTTTAGTGAGATTGCTTTGTAACTCATCACAGATTGCTTTGGACTTAACTATCTTAGTAATGTAGTATCTTCTGCAGATTTTGTCACCTCACTGTCACCACCTTTCCAGACCATTTATGAATATGTTGGACAGCACAGGTCCCAGTACAGATCCTTGGGGGACCCCATTATTTATCTCTCTCCATTGTGAAAAATAACCATATATTCCAACCCTTTGTTTCCTATCTTTTAACAAGCTACTGATCTATGAAAGGAACTTCCCTTTTATCCCATGGCTGCTTCCTTTGCTTATTAGCCTTTACTGAGGAACATTGTCCAAGGCTTTCTGAAAGTCCAAGTATACTGTATTTGCTAGATCACCCTTGTCCACATCCAAAGAATTCTAATAGATTGGTGAGGCATGACTTCCCTTTACAAAAGCTGTGTCGACTCTTCCTCAAAATACCATGTTTATCTATGTGTCTGATAATTCTATTCTGTACTGTTGTTTCAACCAATTTGCTTCTGGAACCTTTTTTTTAAAAAACAGTGTTACATGAACTACCCTCTGGTACAGAGGCTGATTTAAATAATATGTTATATACCACAGTTACTAGTTTTACCATTTCATATGTGAATTTCTTCAGAACTCTTGAGTGAATACCTTCTATTCCTGGTGACTTTTTACTGTTTAATGTATCAATTTGTTCCAAAACCCCCTCTATTGACACTTCAGTCTGGGACAGTTCCTCAGATTTGTTCTGTACAAAGAATAGCTCTAAAGTGAGTAGCTCCCCAACATACTCTCCAGTGAAAACTGATGCAGAGAATTCATTTAGCTTCTCTTCAATGGCTTTATCTTCTTTGGGTGCTCCTTTAGCACATCAGTCAGTCAGTGACCCCATTGACTGTTTGGCAGGCTTCCTTCTTTTGATATACTTCAATATTTTTGTGATATTTAGCTAGTTGCTCATCAAATGCTTTCTTGGTCTGCCTTCTTACATTTTTACTTCACTTGCCAGAGTTTATACTCTTTCTGTTTTACACATGTTGAACTTCATGCCTAAATATGTCTAATTTTTGGTATCCCATTTTGATTTCCCTAGTGGAAGCAAGACTGAGGGACTGATCACAGATAAGAGTATTCATAGTTGTTTATAGTCTCATTTTATATGGTACTCATTCAGTAAGTCCATAATCTTTGGGGGTGTAGAGTGTGACCACCCTGCAGAATCAATACTATTCTCACTCCTGTCTCTGTGAGATTAAATCTGGGGACTATCTCATTTAGTATAGAGGAATCTTGGGTGTTTTAGGCCTAAATTAATTTAAGCAGAGTAAACAGCTTTTTTGCAGTCCCACTATCCAGGATGGTGGAGAAATAAACTGTCCACTCTCAAATTTCTAGTAGTTTGTGGGAGAAGGAGGTAGTAGCCCAACTAACTAATCTCAACAAAGAAGACCTGATGTACAGGTGAGCCAGTCATTTGCCCTGTGAAGACTTCAGAAATGAGGGCAATAGTGGGCTATTTAACCTTTTTTTTGTACCAGACACCCTGCCTTAAAAAATCAAGTGGGAGTAGAGGAACCTCAGCACCATGTTGGATGAGGCCCTTAAATGGGATTTGAGGGACATGTGCACCTCACGGTTCAGAAGCTGCATGAGAAGTAAATGGGCGCTCTCTCTCTCTCTCTCTCTCTCACTCACACACACACACGATCCTCAATGCAGTAAAAAAAAACAAAACAAAGCCACTTTAGAGCTGTTGAACCTTGCCATCTTGGTTTTATAGTGTTTAGGGATTATAAACCAGCAGATTCAGTTCTTAGGGGGTTCATATCTGTTATAGTTAGCAGGTGTTTGTCAAGCCACTGGGAGTGAATGCCTCTCTGGAAGCACTCTGCCCTTTGCAGGATTAAGCCTCTGTTAATGGGATATGAGGGTTCTGAGAGACTCTCGGGATCTGGTCATTATGACGTGGTTATAAAGAGCACTTCAAAAACCTGTTCACTTCTTTCATTACACAGAGTAAATAAAAATTGTATCAAAACCTGATGATCACAGTCAAAATGTTAAAAAGAAAGCAAAAACATGACATGGGTGTGGAATCTGATACATTCTGCAAAAGAGGCACTTTCACATCAGGACAAATATTGCACTAATTTCAAAGGAAAAGAGCTGCACCTATATTACTATAAACCTTCTGTATTGATATTCTAAATATAATTCTAACTTCTATATAGTGTAAATATAATATCACTCTAGTGGTATAATCACCCTTCCAAGAGCTTAATTTATTATTATTTTTTTTTATCTTGGCCCTGAATATTAAGAACCCCATCAGAAAATCCAAATTCAAAATTGGCTGGTAGGGCTTTTATATCTCTGATTGGATTCCGGTTTTTGATGATGGCCATTTATGTGTTGAACTGATGACTGCAGCATTATGTAAGCAGGTGCATTCCTCACTGTTCAATATCTACTAGCTTCAACAGAGCTAGGAGGCTTGTAAGTGAACTCAGATGACAACTGCAAGATAGAGTTTAGAATACCACCCCCATAATCCCTTGCATGTGTATCTCGAGGGGATAATCTAGGCCTAAATTAGTAATCTAAATTTATAAATGTAACTAAATCGGTGAGGATCAATGAGAAAACCTAGGAGTGTCATAGAAATAACATTGCACAAGAAGGCTGAATTTTTTACTATTTTTTACTATTGGTCAATGGAACATAATTTGTCATTTATCACCCTCATTTTTGAGAACTAAAGCTCTGTTTCATTGCTGGATGAGTGAAATAAAAGAGGATACAATTTTTTTTAAAAAATAAGGGAAAATATATACTGAAGTGTGAGAAGAAAAAGGGATTGCATTCTAAATATAGTAGATAGGGCATTGAAATCTGCTATTTGTCTAAACCCTGTTCACCACACTGTAGCTGGGACATTCTCTTGGGACTTTGATGTCTTTTAACTGTAAGGCACTAGGTGCCTTAAGATATTTAGGAATTTTTCTTCCAGAACATCAAGTGTCAAAAAAGTGATGAGACACAATTATGTGTGTGCGTTTGCTTTTTTAAGTTATCAAATTATAAAAGTATGCGACAGGACTAGAAAATCAACCTGGAAAGAATACGTTTTCCACAAAGTGAATTTGTTTGATTGTTTGTGTTGGCAGAATATGCCAGTGCTTATCTTTTGTTCTTACAGGCACACAACTGAAAATTTATACAGATAAATCTAAGAAACCTTTCTGAACTGACATTTCAAGATCTCAGAATTTGAGTTAATTCTTAATTCTGGCTTCTCTTTCCACTAATGTAAATTAAATAAATTATATATACACTATTTATTTTTGTTACTTTAAAATCCTATCCTAATAGACAATACTGGGATAATCATTTATATTATGAAACTGTTGAAAGATTTTATAATACAAAGTGTTCTACAACTGACAAAAATATTGAAACCAAAATATTTTTCAAAACTTGAGGTACTGTATGTGCTTCTGGGATTCAAAATGAAGTACTGATTATTTATCTTTCATTTCAATTTTCTTAGATTAAGTGTCTTATTTCTCAATTCCAGGAGCTGATGCTGTGGAGGCTCAGTGTAAGAGATTTGAAGTGAGGGCAAGTGAAGGTGAAAAGGTGCTGTTTTCTGCAGATGAAGATGAGATCATCATTGGAGCTGACAGACTGAAAGTAACAGGTAGAGTAACAAACAGGTCTCTCAACAATATTTGTTTGTGTTCCCTGGTGATAATTTTACTTAGTGAACTTGTATCTCTCAGACTTTCATAAACTCTTTTCCCGTAGCAATGTATAGGTATATGGGGACAAATTCTTAGCATTAGCAGTGAGTGCTTAGCTGTTCAGAATAATCTAGGATGAGCAACCAACAGGTGCTGCATAATGTCAAGTATGAAAGACATTTTCTAATGCTCAGAATAGGGTGACTGGATAGAAAGTGTGAAAAATTGGGACAGGAGGTGAAGGGTAATAGGCCCCTATATAAGAAAAAGCCCTGAATATTGGGACTGTCCCTATAAAATCAGGACACCTGGTCACCCTGGCTCAGAATAAATTTCTTTGTGACTAGAGTTGAACTTAGAATGAAGTTTATATGACCACAAACTGTAAATGTTTCATTTTTAACAGGGATGATTTTATATGTCGTCATTAATAAAGCATTGATTTATGGTACATGTGCCATTTTGAAAGGTTTTACTTACATAATGCCCCCTCCTAATTGTGTAAGAGCTGCCATTACGTAGTATGTTTTGCATTTCTTCTGTACTGAAAATGTCAAATCTAATTTCTGTATGGCTAAGTAGTGCTCAACTGAAGCAGGCTCACCTTGAATTTGAGAAGGGGAAGTCTATTTCTGAGCTTAACCTTAGTCTGCTTAATAGAAGAATTAGAAAGTACTCTCACTTAGGAGGCAAATTACCCAGTTTTGGGCAAGTCTGTAAGATTTATATACTATCAGTGTAAAACAGATGACCACTAAAACATCTTTATGCATTTCCTGAACATTAGTACCTAGAAGGTGTATCGATGCATTATTATATACTTGATTGTAGTGCAGGGTGAACCTTAAAAAGCTCAGATAAACTAGGTTTAGTTTAGATAAGCATCTAAACATTCAATACTTAAAAAGCCTTATCTGAACTAGAGGTGGGTCTGAATTATGAAGTTCTAATCCAGAGTGAGATACAAATCTGAATTTCCCCACAATTCAAGTATGTTTGGACTTGGAGTACCAGGTCAGTCCACATTTAAGAGAGGCTTGAATTACAAAATTCAGATTATTATTCCACTTCTCTAAAATTCAGGTGGGATGGTTCTGTTTTGAGCCCATATTTAAGTGGAGCTATTTTGTCTGTAAAGTTAAGCTGTAAATCCTTTGCAACAATAGGCTTTTTGTGAGATTTTAGAAACTACTTCTTTACAGTCAGGCCAGATATATCAAAATGGTTTTCTCATACTATTCTACTACTACCACTTCCAGTCCAGACTGGACCCAGGAAATCCAGAGGCACAGCCTGTGGGGGGAAAAAGTTAACCAAACTTTCTTTTTAAGCATCAGAAAAGATATTGGATTACAATAATATTGATTAATAGGTAAAGAATGTTTTTTTATTCACTCCTATTCTTCCATTCCTACCTGATCTCTACTTATTTTTCACACTTCTCTTCTCATGCTGGTACTTCATACTCAAAGGCTTTTCACAGTAGACAATTTTAGAAATGCCATCCTGTGAAATAGCATTAGTTCCATCTGTTTACAAGAATGGGGTGGAGAGTTTTTCATTGCTTCAGAGGAGCTCTTCACAGACAGAAGTTTTAGGAGACTTTTATCATGATAGAGGAGACATCGGAAGAACATTAGAAGAAAAAGGCAGAATCATCCTGGAGCCGCACTGGGATCCAAACTCCCAGTCAGATTGTTAAATATTCAGACATTCAATCTTACACAATTGACACGAGCTTTCAAAGCAGCTATTAAAAGTGTACAAAAGAAAACACGTCTGACAAAGGACAGAGAAGTGCTAGAGTTGTCACCATTAGGGAAACTAATTGTGTGCTGTAGATGTGATATATCTTTTTAAAGACTTTGAAAAGCAATGTATTGTATAAGTGAACCTTAACTTCAGGTTATATGGCTATATTTTCAAAGTGGCTGAGTCTAAGCAGTTCCCATTGACTTCAATAGGACCAGTAGGGAAAATCAGGCCAATAAAATTGTTCCTTGTGACAAAGAAAAGGATTTTTCTCTTAATTCCTGAAAGAAACCAAAGTGTATATATCTAATATTAAATGAAACATAACTATAGGTTTTTTTTAAAAATACCTAAGATTTTACCTTACCTACAAAGGCCAGGAAAATTTGAGTTAATGCTGCTTTGACACTGTTAGCTGAGTTTCAGGGATTACTGTATATATATGGTCCTCTACTATAGGATCTCATGATATTAGTGAATTGAAATAGCTATGGCCTAACATTTGTTTGTATATATAGTGGCTGCTAAGTGCAAACTAAGCCCTGATCCTGGAGTCACTTATGCACAGGCTAAGCTTTACTCATGTGAACAGTCCCACTGAGTTTAATGGGAACTACTCACATGAGTAAAGTTGAGCATGCTTGTAAGTGTCTGCAGGGTGAGGGCCCAAGAGAATACTGTGTATACTTTGGTAATGCTAGCTACTGTTACTGAAGCAATAGAAAAGTTCTCAAGTTTCACCACTTTATGAACTACGGGCCAGATTGATGAACATACTCATCAGCTCTGATTGTTTCAGTTGGAGCTGCTGAGAGCTAAGTACATTTGAAAAGCTGTCCCAAGTATGCAGATAGATCTTCTCTGGAACACAGGTGCAGATTCACTAAATGATCATAGTGATGTCTTGTTACTTAGAATGAATTTATTCAAGCAATATAGGTGCATGCAAATGCTGGGGACAACCTGGGTAAATTTGGCCTGTTTGTGGGCATTTGGATATATTAGAGATTGCTAGAGCAGGGTGACATTTTTCGGAAGCATAGTTTATTTGCTGAATAAATGCAATTTAGTCAACCTGAAACTATTTGTGATTTTGACACAAATTTACTGAATATTTTGGAGAAAAAATAGCGCTAGATTCACAAAATGGCTGGAGAGGAGGTGTCCACCTTGTAACTATGTTAGAGCATTCACTCAGGATGTGGGAAACCCAGGGATTTGAACCAACGTCTCCCTACATCCAGGTGGGTGCCCTAAACAGCAGACTATAGGCTATTCTGGGCTGGATACCTTCAACAGAAGAGAGCGAAAGCAACTCAGCTTTATATAAATGATTACATGTTATTTGGAGCAGGGACTTGAACCTGTACTTCTCACCTCTCAGGTGAGTGCCCTAGCCACCATACTATGGAGTCATTCTTTCTTTCTTTTTTTGCTCTCTCTCCCTCCCTCCTCCTCCTCCCCTCCCCCTCTCCCTCCCCGGGTTCAGCTGTTTTATATAAAGTGGAAGAACTTCAACAGCAGAACTTGAGAGAGCTCAACCAAAGAATAATGTATAGCCTGCTAGTTAGGGCATTCACCTGGAAAGAGGGAGGCCTACCCTCCCCCTTTGGAGCAGCGATTTGAATCCAAGTCTGTCCACTCTGAGGAGAGTGCCCTAACCACTGGAGTAAAAAATATAATCACTATATACATAGGCCTCATCTGGAGTACTGTGTCCAGTTTTGGGCCTCACACTACAAGAAGGATGTGGAAAAACTGGAGAGAGTCCAGCGGAGGGCAACAAAAATTATTAGGGGACTGGAACACATGACTTATGAGGCGAGGCTGAGGGAACTAGGATTGTTTAGTTTACGGAAGAGAAGAATGAGGGGGGTTTTGATAGCTGCTTTCAACTACCTGAAAGGTGGTTCCAAAGGGGATGGATCTAGACTATTCTCAGTGGTAGCGGATGACAGGACAAGGAGTAATGGTCTCAAGTTGCAGTGGGGGAGATTTAGGTTGGATATCAGGAAAAACTTTTTCACTAGGAGGGTGGTGAAACACTGGATTGCGTTACCTAGGGAGGTGGTGGAATCTCTTTCCTTAGAAGTTCTTAAGGTCAGGCTTGATAAAGCCCTGGCTGGGATGATTTAATTGGGGATTGGTCCTGCTTTGAGCAGGGGGTTGGACTAGATGTCCTTCTAAGGTACCTTCCAACCCTGATATTCTATGATTCTACCTGCTAGTACCACCATGTTGTGATCCTAGCCCTTTAAAAATGCTTGGAAAAAAACAGTTCAGGTTGAACGACACGCTTTGTTTGGCCCAAAACAAATGTTTTTTGATTCAGTGAATTTTTGGATTTGGTTTGATCTGAACTGATTTTTTTTCAGAGCTGTCAGTGAAATGAAAAATCAATTATTCTCCAAGCTGTAGAGATGAATGGTAATTGTAGAGTACTAGTCATTGATGGAAAGTGTTAGTAGGACATTTTTTAATGAAGAAGAGTACTTGCTGTTGCTATGGGGTCTCTTAGCATCCAAGTTATTTACTGATGACCAAGAATTTCTGCTTGTTTTTTTTTTCCTTAAAGATGAGTATTCTTGGGCTTAGGTTTGCTTACTTTGGCTGGTATATCTTGGCTGGGTATAGCACCAAACTCCAGACCTTAAAGTGCTGCTATTTATTAAATATACTATCTCTGGTTCCCTTTGCCTCCTGGGCCCTACCTTTCTCAATATAAGGACCGAGCTGTTCAAAATATACATTGAAGTGTAAAACTGGTTAAAAATGTGTATGTATAGATAAGTGTTTGCATTTATTTGCAAACTTAAAAACTGACCTATTCCTGTTAAAAAAAAAAAATCATTAAGGGTACTACACTGTACACAAAACCTTCCCATTTTTAGGTGTTAATGCATGAGTTTTTAAGAGAAAGTGGGCCCATTTTCAATTTAAAAAATACTTTGCACCAGAACATGTAGCAGTTTCCATTTTCACTTTTTTTAGTTTAAAAAAAAAAACATTTTGTAAACATTTCACAAAAAGCAAAATGTGTGCATAGAAATCAGATAAAAAGAAGCAATTTCTTTGCAAAAACTTCCACAAGTAACATTTAACAGATTTCTTTAACAGATGATTAAATGAAGCCTAGACAGATAGATAATATAAAAATGATGAGGCCTAAATTAGCTTGTTACCATTCAAGAAAGACATCTTGGAG